TTAATATTTTGTGAAATAGTTGACACAGTTTATTTGGGAAAAACTCTTTCTTTTAATTCTATTGATATTATCGATAAAAAAGGAAGAGAAAATTATAGAATTAGACTAAAAAATTTAAAGAATCCTAAACACACAAGTCGTATATTAAATTATGATGATATATATTTTAGTAGGGATGCTTGTCATTATGCAAAAGAAGGAGATTTTCATGAAACTGTTTGCAGATATTCCATATGTACAAAGGATCAAAATGATCACACATCATGTGTGGATGCTAAATTTAATGGAAAATTGTTTCATTTAAAGAAACACTCTATACATCATGAAGGAAAGGAAAAATGTATATATCTCCCAAATATTTGCCTAAATAAGGGTTTTAAAATAGATTGCACTCCTTATTTATGCGAATATGAGAGGCCATTTGAATTAACTCCATGTAAAAAGTTAGGTATTAGTATTGTGAATAATGTAATACCACATTCAGAAAGTTCGGAAGTGAAACACACAAGAACTAAAAATTTAGTTCATGAAAACAATTTAAACATGTCTTCTCTTGTTGCAATGTCTTTTATTCCTTTCTTAATTTTATTCTTTTTCATAGGATGCTATATGTATAAAATCATTAAGGAGAATAGATCTAGAGTAAGCTAATTATAAAATTTTGAAATACATGAATCTTATTATGTATATATACACATATACATTTCTTTATTTTCTATTTTTTTTTTTGTATTTTATTAATTTAATAAAAGAAAAAATACAAAAAAAAATATATTAGTTCATATCATGTTTATTAAATAAATCCTATATTTTTTTTTTTTTTTAGAAAATAAAGATGAGGTCTAAAGAACCATAATTGCTGCTTTATTAAAAAATCAAGTATTTTAGCTAAAGAATATATGTAAGGAATAAGAGGAAATTTTTATTTTTCCATTTTTTTTTTTTTTTTTTTTTTTTTTTTTTTTTTTTTTTTTTTAATAATTATTTAAAATCTTTAATTTTTAAAAAAAATAATGCAAAAAAAAAAAAAAAAAGGAAAAAAATGAAAATATTCATTTATAATTGATTTTATTATATTTCATTTATTCCTTCTTTTTTTTATTATTTTTTTTAATATAATTTTTTTCTTTTATATATATTTAAGTTTAATTTTATGTATAAATGAAAATGAATAAATATATATTTTTTGTCAAATTATAAATTAGTTAAAAATTCATTTTGTAATACTAATTTTTAAATATAAAATTGTTGCTTTTTTATATATATATATATATATATATATATTTATTAACATTTCTTAAATTAGATATTTTTCATTTTATATTATATTAGATGAAGAAATGTTATATATAAATATATTTTTCATTCATGATATATATTTACTTAAAGTTATAAAATGTCTTTTTCTATTTTTATATTGTCAATATATATATATATACATTTTAATCTTTTTTAAATATGATACATTTTTTATTGTTATTGAAATTATTGTTGCATATTCTAAGATAAAAATATCTATTTTTTTTTTTTTTTTTTTTTTTTTTTTATTATTATTAGAACATTTATACTTTATTTAAATGAGTATAATAAAAAATTAAAATAAATATAAATTTTTTTTTATCAAGTATTATATATATATATTTATATATGTTTGTTTCTATGGAGAATACATATACACATATATATATATATATATATTTTTCTTTTCATATATAAAATTTAATTTTATACATTTTTTTTTTTTTTAATTAAATTAAATTTTTCATTTGTATAGCATATATATATATATATATATTTCGTTTTTTAGTTTATATATGATACTTTTAATTGATATTACATTTCTGATACACATAAAATTTTTTTTTTTTTTTTTTTTTTTTTTTTTTATTTTTATTAGAACATTTATACTTTATTTAAATGAGTATAATAAAAAATTAAAATAAATATAAATTTTTTTTTATCAAGTATTATATATATATATTTCTATATAAATTAAAAAAAAAATACAAAAAAGGTGATAATTTTTAAGTTGAAATTATAATTAAAATGAACATTAAGACAGTGTGTTAATATTTAAATCATTATATAAAAATAAGAATATATTAAATATTTGCATAAATATTATGTTTAATAAAAATGCAGAACTTATTATTAAAAAACAAATAATAAATTGAAATTTAAGTTTAAAAAGATTTACTAATACTCTTAATTTTTTTTTTTTTT